GGCGAGGGCGAGGGCGGGGCCGGGTGGGGGCGGGCAGCCCTCCAACACCCCCCCCTCCCCGGACGCACCAGCTTCATGCCCAGGCAGTTCTTCTCCCGGGTGTTGTAGCTGTCAATCTTCTGCTTGATCTCCTGCAGTGTGGGCGGCCGCTGCGTCTCCTCGGCGGGTTTACAGACATTCTGGAACAGACAGAAGTGAGAGTGGGTGCGCAGTGGTTCTCCGGATGAGAAAGGGGAGGACCAGACCCTCCCAAAGACCTCGAATAAGGGAGCACCAGTCCCGCGCGGTGAAAACTAATCTCATGGGCGCAGGGTGAGAACAATCAGAGATAAATCCCAGTGGTGCCACTGGGTAGCCGGCCAGCTCCGGGGAAGTAACTGAAATCTAAGTCTCCTCACCTGTGAAATGGGAACAATGCCTACCCCTCGGGCTTGCTGCGAGACTAATATGAACGTGCCCAGCACACGGGCACGGACGACGAATTCGGTGCATCAGCAGAACAGCATTTGCTTACCGAGGGTTACTAGGGAAAAGATTGCATTGAGATGCTATGGGAGCTGCAGAGAAATGCAAGGCACCGTCTCCCGGAGGAAGCAACGAGAGCCGGAGAGACAGGAATGTACACACGGTCCCAGCATATGCTGATGGGAACGACAGCAATTCACCCAGACCCAGGGGACCAAGGGCACATGAGCATCAGCCCAGGCCCTACATCACCGGCCACAGTACTTTGCACATAATAAGAAGTTCAGTTGCTCCTTGAACAACACAGGTTTGAACTGCGTGAATCCACTTATACAGGAATTTTTTTATATATAAATATAGTCCAGTGCTATAAATGTTATTTTCTCTTCCTTATGATTTTTTAAGATTTTATTTATTTATTTACTTAATTACTTATTTATTTATCTGAGAGAGAGAGAGGTTGAGCACGAGTGGGGAAGGGGCAGAGGGAGAGAATCTTCAAGCAGACTCCCCGCTAGCCAACTCAGGGCTCAATCCCACAGCCCCGAGATCATGACCTGAGCCGAAATTAAGAGTTGGACGCTCAACTGACTGAGCCATCCAGGTGCCCCTCCTTATGATTTTCTTAATAACATTTTCTTTTCTCTAGTTTACTTTAGTGTAAGAATGCAGTGTGTAATACATATAACATGCAAAATTGTATTAATAGACTGTTCATGTTATTGGTAAGGCTTCTGGGCAACAGCAGACTATTAGTGGTTACGTTTAGGGGCTGTCAAAAGTTATACTCAGATTTTTGACTGTGCTGGGGGGCAGCGCCCCCAACCCCTAAGTTGCTCAGGGGTCAACCATATATACTTGTCAAATGAATGAGTGAACCGGAAGGGGACAGGGGGCTGTTCTTCTACAATAATTGAGAGAATCAGCCTCCTCTCCTGGGGCATGGGGACAACCAACATCTACTTAGCACCTCCTCTGTACCAAGAACCTGGCAAGCACTGTCTCTTTTAATCCTCACAAACCTAAACTCTGTGAGATGGAGATTATTACCTACATTTTCAGGTGAGACAACCAGGGCTCAGAGGAGCTCAGTAACTTGAGTTGGTAGGTGCAGACCTACAAGGAAATCCCAGGGCTGTTCTGCTGTGTTCTTCCCAGGGGTTCCCCTGCTGCCCACCCCCCCGCCCCCGCTCCCCACCCCCAAGGAAGGATAAGGGAAGAACAACGCTGAGGAACGAGATGGAGGTCATAGGTTTTCACACTGTGGGGGCGAATTCTGGGGTCTAAGCAACTCTGTCCCTCCATCAATTCCCTGCATTTCTCTCCACTTCACCGCCGCCCACCCTCCGGATGCGGTCTTCATGCTGCCCGTGTGCAGCGGGAGCCATGGTTTGGGAAAACAAGTAAGTTGGTAAAAAGCCACCCAGAATTCACCTGATTTTAGAAATTGAGCAGACTTGGGGCGGGTCAGGATTCTCCTTTGGCAAATGAGGAAACTGAGGCCCAGAGAGGCAGGGCCCCTGTGTTCTCCCCGCTGCCTCCCTGCCACCACCCAGCACCCTCCTGCAGGAGTGTGGTTTGGCTGGCAGATTTCCCAGCGGCCCTGTCACGGCAACAGCACCCGGTGGAACACAAGAGGACCCCCTTCCGGAGCCTGTCCCCGCAGTCCTCCCTTCAGCAAGCCGTCCCCAGACATAGGGCACACCCAGCAGGATGCCCGCCCTTCCTCCTCCCACTTTCCAACCCGACAGAGCTGATAACATGTCAGGTTCTGTGGCTGCCACGGGGAGCTGGTGTGGCCTCCCCCCGCCCCCCATCACCCCTCTACATGGAGATGAGCCGACACCCCTTTTCCATCACCGCATCTTCCCTTGGTCCGGCTGCCCCTCCCCCCCATCCTCTTCCTCAGGGATCCTGCCGGTACCAGCCCTGTGCTCCATCCTTTCTCATACCCTCTCTCATACCACTCCCATTTCACAGATCACAAAGCTGAGGCCTAGAGAGGTTACGGAGCATGCTTGTGCAGCCACTGCTAGTAAGCATCTGAGTGGAGCCTGGAACAGAGTGCGTCCATGTCTGGAGCCCATGTTCTTCTCAATTCACCACATGACAACTCTAGGACGGTCGCTTCTGCCACTCCCATAATGGTCACTGAAATTCCATGCCATTCCATGAGGGCTGGGGTGTGCAGCTGTCAGACCAAGGCCCAGAAATTATGGGCCCTGTGAAACATTCTTCCACGGTGAATCGGATCAGTGGGCCAGGCCCCAGAGGACTCAGGACCCAGGGGCACCATGTCCCCTGCAAAGATGGCGAGGAGGGCCTTCCAATCTCTCCAGTGGGACGCGGCTGCCAGCAGGCGGGAGCCACCCTTTCCTGCATGGCCACTCGGGCTCTGGAACTGGACCGTGATTCCATCCAAGAGCACCCAAGGGGAAGCACACCCCAGGGCACCTCCTTTAGGCCCGAGGTAAGCAACAACCGCTGTGAACCTCAGAAAGTGTCTTCATTCACCGGCGATGCATCAATCCGGAGATCCTCACATGGAGCTCCTCATTCCCGGTCCCTTCCCACAGCTAGTTCCCAGAGACATGGACCTCCCCGGAAACCGCCCCCCCAAACTGGACCACCTCTATGGGACCAGATGTACCCGGCCACGGCTCAACCGTGGGAGCTGCCAGTCAGAAAGACCACTTATCTGGTTCCTATCCTGGGCTCCATTCTACCCATCTCTGAAGCACACAGGCTGTCCCCTCCTCAGGAGCTGACAGCTTTCTCATATTCATCTACCCAAAAAAGAGTTAAATAATGGAAAGGAAACTCTAGAAGCTCCTGGAAGATCTCCTCTCATAGTTTCCAAGTGAGCTACAGCCATTTCCCTGTAAGAAAAGGCAGCTGGTTCATGGCTTTCAAAAGTCCATTATTCCAGGCCTGGGTTTGGGTACAGCAAGTCACAGCTGCTGTAAGTAAAGGTTTCTTCTTCCTGTTCCCCTTCTCTTCGGCAGATAGCCCATCTATTCCTCCCCCTTGCCCACCACAAACCTGGGGAAGTGACACAAGCATCTGAGGCCACCCCTTCCCGGACTGACGCAGAAGATGGCCATCCTGATCTCACCACCCCATCCGGGAGTGCCCCGAGCCCTGTGTGGTCAGCATGTGGAGCACCCCCAGGCTGGAAGGTCGGCCCCCAGGGCTGGTATGGCTCCTGCCCACCCCATCTGGCAGACAAGCTCTGACCCACGGATTGAATGAATCACCTGCCGAAGTAGGCCAGCCAATCAGCCAGCGAGCCACAGTCGCGAGAGCCCACGGATCCTTTCCCCTCCCAGGGAGGGTACAGAATCTAGGCCAGTGGTTCTTAAACTCGGCTACACACAGAATCATCTAGCGGATCTCTAGAAACCCTGCTTGGGCTCCATCTTGGAGATTCTGATGTATGGTGTGGGGTACAGCCTAGGCATCGGGATTTTTTACTCTCCCAGGTAATTCTAACGGGCAGCAATGTTTGAGGAGAACTGGCATAGACCCCTTGTGAGCAATTTCAGACACCAAGGGTCCCCACCCAGCAGCACAATTAACGCTCTGGCACCCACAGATATTCACTGCCCCAAAGATTTACCTAAAAGGCAAGTATCTGCTGTGTGAACAAGATCAATAATATAGGAGTCTTCACGGGGTAAGGCAAAGACCTCCATTTTTATTCACCTGTCCGATTTTCAAGTCCTCAAAGTGAAAGATTGGTTTCCCCCCACGGGTACGAAGCTAGAAACCAGGCAGATAGAGTTTTGTCTCCCCGGGGTGGCGCAAGATGGAGACAGAGGGGGGACCTCACTCTGTTAGGATTTCACACATTTCGACATGGGCCGCCGAGGTGTCTCTCGCAGGGGGTCTGTGCGTCTCGGGGCAGCATGGCATGCGTCTGCTCCGACTCAGCCCCTGGCACTGGAGGCAGATGCTTTAGCTGCTCCCCACATAGCCGGCAGAGCCACAGTGCTGGTGAAAAATACGTTTGTGCCCCCATATCCTGAGCCATGGAAGGGGCTGTGTTGCCTCTCAGTGCTCAAGGGTATGAGGGTACAGCTACGTGAAGAGGCTGGGTGCCAGGAGTCCTAACTTAAAACTTAAGTCCTTAACTTAAAAAAATATATATCCTCAACAACAAAATCAAGAGGATCATCCCCTGTGCTCTGGGGCCTACCTCAGAGCAGATCTACCCCAAGTTGAATTTTACTTTAAGCAGAAACCCAAACATCGGTGAATTCTGCATTCTAACCAATGACACAGGTCTTAATTTTGGTCACGGCGGAGGAAGAGGCTCTGAATGAGTCCTGTGGTTTCTAGTATCCCCAGGTGGACACAGGGCAGCCTCCGAAAGCCCCAGCAATGAGGGGGGCCCCGGGGTGAGGAGCAGGCTCAGGAGCATCAGACACACTCTGACACATCAGATAACTTCATGCCCGTTTTCTTTTGACCTGAATCACACAAACCTCACTTTTGCTAAAAATTTTACTCTCCCTCTTCTTCAACTTCTCAGCCTCTTCTTCCTTCACAATGCTTTCATCGTATTGCTCCCGTCGGTCCACCTGAGGTCCTTCACTCTGTCCAGGCCTCTCTGGCCACTCCTGCCCTGAACGATGGTGATGATCTGTATCAGTTCATGTCATCCTCACCACAAATTCATGCGAATTCCCATTTCACAGATGGAGAAACTGAG